TTTACAATATTTTGATGAACCATTACATTGTTTGATTTTTATATCCTAAGTTAGTGTAGCTCACCTAATTCACTATTTTTCCTAGATTAAGACGTTAAGGACCCTGCTCCCAAAGGATGAGAAATTCGTTAGGAGATTGTTCCACTTAATCTTACCTAAATTTAGATGTTAATTAAAGTTATCTATGTCATTATAACAAGTATTTAATTTAGAGGTCAGGCACGCCTCATGAATTTTGGACATTTTAACACTAAGTTGTATAAGGGATGTATATTTTAATCCTTAAATATTAGTTGTGCAAGATATTTCTATAAAATATTTACCATTATACAGTGGCATGCAATCAGAACTCTGAATGAAGAGTTTGGGTCATTATAGTTGGCATCAGAGTCGCATTCTTTGAAACCATCCATTTTTATCATGAGGCTTAGGATTATTGAGAGGATTAGGGCAAAAAAAAGGGAATTAAGTAATATGAACTTTAATAAATGTTTTATTAAACTTAGGAATCAAATGTGTTTAGCTTCACTTTGAAGCCCATAGGAGATAGTGAATGAAACAACTTCCACCAAGAAATTGATCCAATAGAAGTAAGAAAACAAAGCATGAAAGGAAAGTGTTGTTTATTCTAGGATTCAAACCCTTCAATGAGTTATAACCTAAGTTTTAACATTAAGAAGCTTTCATATAGGCAAGTATCTGACAAGAATAATTACGTTCCTCTTTACTTTTTCTTTACTGCTCTAATTTACTGTGTGCATTATACTTAAAATACTATGCAGATATATATGTATATATTTTTGTATATCTATCAGTGGTGAATGAAAGGGAGAGACAAAGCAAAGAAACATATGAGAGGTTAATAATCGACTAACATACATATATGCATGCTTATAATTATGCATATATGTGTATATATCAAAATCTATGTGCTTGTGCATGTGAGGGTATATATATGTATAGGAATTATTGCATGTGCGTGTATTAATGAATATATAAGTCAATAGATATATAATAAGTGTGTGCATATATCTATATATATAAGTAAAATTTGTATGCTGTGTGATTTTGTAAATAGATATAAATGTATGTAAATCTGTGTTATGTATATATAAACTTGTGTGTATATGTTATACCATTTTTTTCCAGGATGCATACATATATATATATATATATGAATTATTGTGCAAATGCGTGTGCCTGTGAATATATATATAGGTAGATGTAAATTCGTACGTATATAGATGTGTGTGCGTAAAGGTAAATGTGTGTATGTATATAAGCCTATACATATGTATGTATATGTATGTAAAATCTATTAAGTGGAAATGGGGCTTTAAAGTTCCTGGAAAAGGAAGCGGATTAATTAGTAGGATTATAATTAGAATAAAGTCAAAGAAAAATTGGATAACGGGATGTAGATGTGAAATTAAATAAAAAGTAATTAGCATGAGAATATGATAAGTCATGCTTAATAATACCTGTTCTCAAAATATAAACAAACAAAAATGAGAATAGAAATGGAGAAATTAATTGATTATAAATAAGAGAAAATACTTAAATGAAAGAAAGTTAAGACAATATTAAGAATTGAATTAGTGTACATACGAAACCGAACCTGTCTTCTCTAAATTTTATTTTTCTATAATTTTTTTTTTTAAAAAGAGAAATTTTATGACATCCATGAATTTTCTTAAATGTGTTTTCTGCACTTATTTAACTTTGTTTTGTTCAGTTAAAATGTGTAAAATTCATATGAATAATTAGTGGAGCTATATACCCTAGGAAAACATGTATGTTTGTACGTGCATATATATATAGCTAAGGATTTGTGCATATATAAATGCATGTATATGTTTGTAGAAGTAAATCAGTGTGGATGTGGTTATGGGTGTGTATATATGATTATGTGTTAATGGTTTGATTTGAGTTGTGTAGTTGCATCTGTGTATGTGTAATTAGGTGAATGAATTATATATATATATATATATGATGTGTATACATATTTTGTCAATGTACATATGCCTGCATATCGATATGTATATGTAAGTGCAATATCAGTTTATATAAGTCGTATACATAAAATATAAATGCAGGTTTGTATGATGGTATAGGTATAAAACTGAGGGTATATGTATATGTGAGTGTAAATGCATCAAAAGTGTATCAATATGAGTATATATATATACACACACGAATGATGCTTAAGAATGTATGTTTAGATAAAATGTGTAAGAAGTTTAGGGATGTAAAAGAAAATGATATGAATAGCATCAAATTTTATAGTAAAAAGGGGGCTGTTTAGAATTCCAAGCCATTAGAACAATGTGTATGTTGTTTTGGGGATAATTGAAAATATATATGTATATTTATATATTGATTAAAGATAATGGAGAATATTTTCATAATATCAATGTATTAATTTTCGAAAGTTAAAAAGCAAATAGTTCTTATTTAGGCATATGAACTTTGGGAATTATGTGAACATAACATAGCATTGAGATTATCTAGGTAATTAAGAGCTTAATCTTGTAGTGAATTGAGAATGTGGTGTATATTGCTACGAGACTCTTCATGACGATAATCAAACAAAAATATAATGCTTCAAACATGGTTGGATGATGGCAACAATTGTATAAATTATTGCTTGGAGAAATTCAACTCTAATGAGTTTTGAAATTTAACATAATATAGAATAGTGGTCTTTTTGGAAATACAATAAATGTTAAGAGGTCTATAGTGACGCACCATCAAACCTCGTTAGGTTTTAAAATTTCTAAGATTGAAAGACAAGTTCTTAGTAAATATATCTTTACTTTTGGGATAAAATTGAAGAAAGTAATGTATCTGACTTAAATTTAGTAGAAACGACTACCAAAAAATATATATATATCTACATATATATAGATATACACAGGCGACCATATGTTTCTAAAGGTGTTATAGATACAAAGCCTCCTAAGATTCAAAAAGGAAGGGAAACTAAGCCCTTGATTCATTTGCCCTCTCAAAGTACAAGAATCAATCGGTACAACTGCTTACAAGATACCTGTACTATCGGAGTTATTAGGAGTTCCCAACGTCTTTCCTATATTAATACCATGTAAGTATCATCCTAACCTCATCCATGTGTAGCAATATGAACCACACCCACTAGAAAATGATTTCACCTAAGAAAAAGTACCCCTGCGCATATTGGATTGAAAGGAGGAAACCATAAGAAACAAGTAATACCACTAGTTAAAGTCATATGGCAACCTCACTCTCAAGTGGAGGCAACATGAGAGCTTGAGGAGACGATGAGGATGAACTATCCTAATTTATTTGAGAATGTCTAGCAAATTTGGAGACCAAATTTATTTTATGGGACGAATATTATAACAAGTAAAAAAAAGAGAAAAAATAAAAAAAGGGGAATAAAATAAATGGAATAATAATAATAATAAATAAATGAAAAGAAAAAAAAAGGAAAAGAAACCCTAAGGGGGGAAGACAGGGGCGGAGAAGAAGAAGAGAGAGATGAAAAAGAAGGGAGGCACGACAGGCAACTAATCCCTGCGAGGTGGAGAAATAACAGCCGGAGAAGAAGGCTTGCGCGCGATCATCGCGTGACGTACTGGGAAGAAAGAGTTGTGTTGCAACAAGATAGAATAAGGGAGGCGTGGTGAGCAGAGGGCAGATTCCCTCTTGGCACGCAACACGATAATGGAGAAGGAAACTTGAAGGTGTGTGTGTGGCGGCGAAGGAGCAGCCGGACCGCGGGGAGGCCAGATCCTAACAGATCAGCAAGATTCATTTTGTACTGGCGTGCTGCGTCTTTTTGGGTGATTTCTACTCATTCACAGCGGCGAATGCTGACTCTAACAAAGGCTCGTGCTGTGGCGGCTAAAATTTCAATACTTTTTCCAACCAAACTCCAAGTAAGGATATCTCAACCCTTTCCGCAATTGTTTAATCGAAGTTTGGCCATTAAATCACCTAAAATTGATTGCAAATTTGAATTTAACTTATGTGAAATGCTGATGGTGATGATTCAACTGACTTTATGCAAGTGTTAGTATATAACTAATTGTGCAACTATATTTAGTTATTTGGAATTTTGTATTGCATGTTGGGTGGATACACTTTGCTGGTCGATGTGCGCAAAAGACCATTCATGATTGTTTGTGAGTGGGATGCGTGTGTCGTTTTATGTACTCGTGTTGTGATGAGTGTACATTTTGGTATATATGTCTACTGAAAATATGCGCATTAGTGTAGGTATATAGATAAAGGATGTATGCGGTGTCATATAAATATGGATAATTTGTATATATAAAAAATACATAAGCCAAGTACCTATTAAATAAATTATATTTGATTGTTTATATTTAAATATAAATAATAAACTGTGTTTGACATATATCCACATGAGACTATCTGCTTAATATATAATATCTGTGTGTGTGCTTAATATGTATGTATACGCATAGTTGAGTGTGAATTTTTATTTTAAAATATAATTATAAAATAAATTAGGGCAAAACATTTAATAAACAATATCCTTCCCTTTCATCAATTTAGTATACAAATTTTATTCACTTTTAATTTAATTTAGTTTAAATTTCACTAAACAAACAAAATGCAATACAAATATGATTAAAATTTAAATAAAAAATTATCTATTTTGTATTATATAAAAATATAAACTCAATATCATAGATTGAAAAATGTTTGTAGAGTTAATTTAATTATTTATCATATATGTAAATTATAATTAATTTTTTAAAAATATCAAATAACTAAAACTTAATAATTGGATGCAAATACAATTCACATCAATTAAACACAATATTAATATAATTCTATAATTGATTGATATTGGAAATAATATATTTGCAAGAACATGAGATATATAGAAATATTTACTATTTGCTAGGCATCCTATTTCTACTAGTACAGAAAATATGATGCAGCAGTTAAATATAAGCCAAAGAAAAGATCTGCAAAGCCTTCAAACAGATTGGAATTTGAGCATGCTTAATTGTTGAAAAAATAAACTGTCAGGACAATTACAGGTGAAAACTCATTTCACTAACAAAATCACCTTGTTAAATCTTTACAGGATTGATGAAAATCAGTCCTTGACATCAATAACACCTTCGGCAGATATCTGGAATCGAGCCTCTGCTTCTGCCAGACAAGGAGAGCTTATTACTTTACAGATTCGCTCTTCTCCTCTTCCCTTTCGAAGAGCAAGCCTAAGTAAAGAAATACATAGTATGTTTCAGCAGAAGCTTTTGATTTTGGGATGGAAGTTAGAGAAGATATTAATCGTTCGGTGAGGGCACAAGCATCAAACCAAATTTATAAAATAAACAGACCTCGTTGTAGAAGCATGAGCCATAATGTTGCCACCGATGGGCTTGATTTGAGGTCCAGCAAAAATGGCAGAGCCATCCACTTGTGCAACTACTTGATTCGTTATTACAACTGCTACACCAAACTAGCAAAGTGCAACGGAAATGTTTAATGAACCACAATGCTTTGTTGCCAGATACAGGATATCCATATAAGATCTTCATATACTAGCCCGAAAGAAGACTTGTTACATCTATGAATGGCTTAAAAAAGCATGCAAGCTGAAATTTTTCTTGATCAGAATGAAATAATATCCTAATAAAAGGCTTCTGGACTGGAAACCTGACAACATAGTGTGACAAAGTTGTAAAAGTCTACCTCATCTGCTAACTTTTGAAGACTCCTGAGGAACTTTGCTAGATGCATTTGCCGGGCTGATAGTTCTCCCCTTCCAGAGAAATCTGTTCTATAGAGAGCAGTGGCACTGTCTACTATCATAAGGGCAAACCTAACACCAAAAATCCATTAGAAACGTCTGTTACTTGTGACATCATAGTAGCAAGAGAAACATAAGGGCAATGTGATCATATATACCTTGTTTCGACCATCATAGAAGCTGCCTCAAGCAAAAGCCTTGACTGATGATCAGTGTTATAGGCTCTAGCATATGCCACATTCTCCAACACATCAGCACCATTAAGTCCAAACCTGCAGCACCAAACGCCATTAATTATTGGGGATTGTACCACGAAGGATCACATTCCTTGTAAGGTAGCCATGTAACACCTGTCTGCTATTTGCAATAGCCTCTGCGGCCTGAATGTGCCCTCTGCATCAATGTACATTGCCTTTCCTTCACCTCCTCCTTGATCCAATGGAAGCTGAAAAATCAAAGGGCGTTGAGTTAAATATTGAGTATATCGATTCAGCATGTAACTAGCTGATGATAAAATTTCTAAATTGATAGACAGCTCTATTTCACTTATTAGAAGAGCTTAAAGTTATGTTTAAAATAAATTTATTTGCGAGTTCACACGTACTTCAATTACAAAACAGTGAAAATAGTCTCTGAAAAAATAAAAATTGATATATTGATATCCATGGAATTTCATGTGGAACTGAAATTACTGTCTAAAATTCTATCAAAACTTAAAATATATTGTCCCAATTGCATATGAAATTCTATATATACTTTTATATATTCAATTAGATAAACTAATCATAAATTCACAAATAAATTCTACAAATTTTCTGGATTTGTTTCAGACATGGCTAAGGGTCTATTTCGAAGAAGAAAAAAAATGAGAATAACATTAATTTGGTCCTCATGAGAAAATATATTGAGGGTAGAATATATTAGGAGAATAACAATTTGTTCCGAAGACAAAATTACTCTTTTTTCCTCTTCTCTTCCCCTATCCTAATCAGGCCCTACGTGACAATCCAAAATTCAGCGATGCCAGATAAAGTTCACTAGCTCAATTAAATGAAGCACGGCAAGAATCTTATTTGAGACTATCCAGTTTCAAGTTTGACTAACTGTGAGTTCCATTTACTTATTGAGCATGTTGAATTCTTTATTTTTCACATCGCAGGTTCTTGGATTGTCAATTAAGGTATTTATTAAACAAAATAGCCGCAATAGCTTGTGAGATAAGAAAGAAAACTTCTTACTTGGCAAGTAACGCAGAGTGTATGACACAACTGAGTTTTTCCAGAGCGAAATTCACCATATATCTCAGTAATAGATCCCGTCTCAATTCCCCCTGCCAGAAAATGACATAAGATCATAATAATAGAGCTTATGGTATTCAACAAAAATCTGGAAATATCTGGAAAAACCTATACCTTCCAAAATTTTGTCGAGTTCTCTTGATCCTGATGTTATCTGGATTATCTCAAGCCTTTGGGCATGAAGCTGGCTAGCACTAGTGAAACCCAAAGGAACCAGTTTTGAAGCTGCAATATGAAGGTAAAACCAAGTCCCTTTACTAAAATTTCTATGATAATTATTGAAAATTTAGCTGATAACTAATAAAGGAAAAGAAAATAACTTCAAATAGTCATGCCTGCTTCTATGAGCTTATCTACTTTAGCTTCACTAATTCCTTTGATTTGCAGAAGATCTTTTCGTGGAGAGTAAGCAACAGATTCAACCGTGCAAAGACCCGCATCCTTAAGCTTCTTTACATCCATGGCAGCAATTCCGGACGCCTAGGTTTTAAGATTAATGAGATCAAACATTATTAGTCAGCAACCGATGAAATTCAATTTTGGTTTTCACAATGCCCAGGATTTTCAGTTACAGGTTGTCTGGTTAACAATTTACAGAACTCTAGTAAACAACACACTTTTCAGCACTAGGCACATAACAAAACCAATAGACAAAAAAAAAGGAAGCTAATAACAGCATTTCTGAGAGCAAATTCAAGAACAGTTTCGAAAACAAATAAATAGAAATTCAAAAGGGGATTTTCATCAATAATTTTCAAACGAGTCTACATTTTGAATACAACTTATTAAGATAATTCTGGAATTTCAACAAACTATATAAAGGCATCCCCTTTTCCAATAACTCGTCAAAACCAAATAAAATGGAAATAACAAAAAGAAAACGACTTTCTTGCTTTTGTAGGAAAAGAAGCAGCCATCTAGCCATAAACCGATCCAAATTAAACCTGCTCTATTAGGAAACCTACAAACCCTAACTCTCCCTCTGTCGCAATTGGGGCAAACAACTCAAGACTGACAGAAGGCCCAGTTTCAACCATAATAAGCGAGTTAGAACCTTTTGTGAGAATCCATGAAACCCATTTAGGTTATGGCCTTACACAACGTTGTGCAAGAATTGGTGGGACACTGAAACAAATAAAACCCTCCCCGACATACAAAGAAAAAATGATGGAATTTTTTTACAAAATGTCGCCTTTCAGCAAATTCAAGAAGAACCCGGTTGGGTCAGCATCTAATTTGATCCCAACGACAAACAAAGTGAACGTAATTGGATGATTATCATAGAAATCAATCTTGAAGAAGATGGTACCTGAAGCTGCTCAACAGGGAAAGGGCCATGCTGCACATCTTCCAGCTCTTCTTGTCGCATTACATTCTTCTGGACTCTTTGTTGCTCCATTTTCGCCGATTACAGTCCAAGAGAACTGATGTGCCGAAGAGGAAGAGAGAAGATTGTACAGAGAAAAGAAAGGGAGACAATTAAGAATGGAGGGAAAGGATGCTTTTGAAAAGAGTTTGGAAGGCGCCAAACAATTGAGGGCAAACCTTGTGAAGGAAGTTTGGGCAGTCTGACCATAAAATTATTTGTTTTATAAATAAATTTTATGTTTTTAAATTAAATTATAAAAATTATATTATATGGTTGTCCACTAAAATTCCTAAAGATTTCAGAATTTATTTGAAGATATTCCGATTTGTTTATTTATGGAGTTGAAAATAAAGAGAGGGTTTAATTTAATTTTTTTATCAACCGGAATTTTGAGCTAACTAAATAACGTTTTGAACTTTATTACCCGTTTAATAAATAACAAAAAGCTCTTAAACAACCTTATAAAGTTCTTTTAAGTCATATTTTAAATAATTTGTTGGGTTTTCAACTTTTGTTTTTAAGAACTTGCAAGCTATTTAAAAGAAGGTGTACTGTTAAGTTGAATATTAAATAATTATTATTTTTAAAATTTAGGCATTTTCATATTTTATATGTTTTACTTAAATATAATAATAAAATTATTACATTCATGCTCCCTAAATTTCTAGCTAATTCACCTCAACTAGGGAGATAATATTCATATATTATATATTTTTGCATGTGCTAAAGTTTTCGAGGTTGATGCACAGACTAACTTAGTGTGTGAATTGAGTAAACTATGACTGGTTTTGTAACTGTGAGATAAATCATTTTATCAATAAGCCTTCTATATTTAGTTCGATTATTTAATAACATTTCATATGTAGGAGTGAGTTTTAAATTTGGTTCCATTGGAAACTTGTCTGAGCATGCACTTAGAAATCCTTAACCTTGCAAAATATCTGAAGCATGTTCTCTCTGAGACATGAAAATACCTTTCTTAGAGCGTGAAAACTCAATACCCAAAAAGTATTCAAGTCTCCAAGATCTTTGATACGGAAGCATTACAAAAGAAAATCTTTAAAGTGTTTCATCTTTTGAAGGTATTTTCTTGTGAGAAGTATGTCATCAACGTAAATAAGGACTATTGTGAATGAAAAACTTTGTCTTTAGTGAAAAGTGAATAATCAACCTTTGATTATTGGAAACTAACCTTTTGAATATTATATGAAAACATAGAAAACTAGTTTCTTCATGCTTGTTTAAGTCCATAAAGGGATTTATTGAGCCGACACACAATGTTCTTCCCCTACCGACGAAGACCAGGTGGAGTTTCCACGTATACTACCTCGCACAAATCACCATGAAGAAAAGTGTTTTGTACATTTAGTTGATGTATGAACCAATTGTGAGCAGTCACAACGGTAAGAACGCAACAGAAGATGAAGAGTTTGGCAGTAGGAGAAAAGGTTTCTTGGTAATTAATGCCTTTAATTTGAGTGTAGCCTTTAGCTACAAGCCGCACTTAATGTTTAATGGTACCATCATATCTATATTTTATTTTGTATACCCATTTGCAACCGATGAGTTTATGACTTGTAGGAAGAGAAACTAAACTCCATGTGTTGTTTTGTTGTAAAGCTTCTAACTCTATATTCATAGTGTGTTGCCAATGCGGGTCAAGGATAACTTGAGCATAGGATTGAAGTTCTTTATGAACTGTAATATTAGTTAAAAAAATACAATAGATAGTAAAAAGAAGAGAATATGAAAGAAAATGAAAGAGAGGATACCAAGTACTAGATTTGAAATTTGGCACCGAGGTAGAGTGATTGATTAAAGCTGACAATATGTAGTCTTTATGCCATGTTTGAGGTTGCCATAGGCGAGTGGATTGAAGGGTAGGGATGGAAGTTGAAGGATCTAAGCTGGTAGAAGGAGATATAGTTGATTAATCTTGAGTTGATGAAGCATGGGATGAGAAAGAATCTGTGGTAGTGGGAGTAGGTATAGGAGATGAGAATTCTTGGCTATTGGACATATCGGTCTCTTGGGGTGGGGTGGAGGTGTTTTATGATGGAGATAAAGTTTCTAAATAAGTAAAGAAGGATCAAGTAACACAAAACTGGAATTTAGAGTATTCAAAACTAAAGCGAAAGTGGTTTCACAAAATTTGACGTCACGACTAATAAAGAAAATGTTATTCTCTAAATCATAAAGTTTATAACCCTTTTGACCAGTAGGGTATCCAATAAAGATACATTGTTTAGCATGTGGTTCAAACTTGTGTGTATGATGAACAATAGTGGAATAACATAAACAACCAAATATTCTCAAGTGACCAAATAATGATGGACATTTGTATAATAATTCAAAAGGGGATTTGCTCAATAACAATGGTGATAATAATCAATTTATAAGATAAACAACAGTTAATACAGATTCACTCCAAAAATTAAGAGGTAGTGAGACTAAAATTATGTGATATTTATATATAACTAATTAACTCTAAACCTTTTCTCCTTTATCCTTGAAGTGGCTACAATCTCTTTGTTGGTTCATCAACTTGGTAGCTTGGTCTAGTGTCAATTATTTTCGAGTTTTATTTACTCGTTTAGCTTGTTTTTTGTTTTTTTTTCTCTCTCCAATTTAACACAACCACTTATTTCTTTCTTTCTTCCTCGCTTTTCATTTTCACTTTGTTATATATTTAGAGAAAAAAAATTAATAACTATAGAAAAAAAGTTACAAAGTTATAACTGTTTATTTTCTTATGGGGTGGTGTTTTTGAGG